AGTGAATTTGTTTAAAACATCTGAAAACATTTGAATGTGTTTCTTCTTTTCTCCTCCCATTATCAGCTGCTGACTTGGAAGAAATGTGGCGTGGCAACAAGGGGGATGAGAAAGCGCAAGTTGGGAGGCGGGAGACCCTTCCAGTTGTTATGGAGTCTCGTACCAACCAAAACCCCCCTCAGAGGTCTGTTCTTGGGGTGCTGAGTGAAAATGAGCAGTGTCTGAGATCCTGCAGCCAGGTAAATGGGGGGGGGGAGCTTCCTTGCAGACTGTCATCTGAGCAGGTGATAGCTCAGAGCGCATATCTTGCCAGCAGAAGGCCTCTGGTTTCATCCCTGGTAGCAGGCCTGGGAAAGCCCAAGACTTTGGAGGGTCATTGCTAGTTAGAGGAGACATTACTGACCAAAAGACAGTTTCATATGCTCCTTTTTAAAATGAACTTTATTTATGGTCCGTCTTTCTCACTTGGACTCACAGTGAATTACAATACAGTAAGTCAATACAGTTGACAGGATGGGACATGCAATGAACAATGCAAAAGGAATTGAGTTGTAGAACCAGCGAGAAGTCTAAAAACAGAACTGAAGTGAAGCATAAGTATTAACACACTAAATGATTGCAGAAATTCCATAGTAGGATCCCAGTTTCAGCAAGCTGTACACAGTCCCTAATACTTTATCCAAGTAACTTCGTTAAAAATTTAGTACTCTGAAGTGCAAATCTCTTTGAATGTCCCATACCCTTTTCTATTTCTCGACACTTATCCCTCGAGCAGAATGCGCACCAGGTGCTTGTGGTATGGCTTGACTTTAAGAACATTTTATCTACCACCACACCTTTATGGTAGGCAAACTGAATGTCTTGCAGACTCTGCTAAAAACCCCATTTGTAGATTGTTTTTGCTGTTGTGCTTCAGGTGTGATTGAAACCATGAAATACATCATCTTATTTTATATTGTATTTAACGGGCTTAATTTCAAGGTTTATGGGTTTATGCCCATCCTGAACAAATGTAAATTTTTTGTTCAGCCTTGGGTGGTCTCCTTTTTATTGGCAGATGTTGATCCACTGATAATTTACTCTGTAGATGGATGATGGATTTTAATTTATATTATTCTTGGTAAAACTCATTCAAATTTATTCAATGTTTCATTTTATTGTACAGCATTATTGATTTTGCTCAAGACCTTTGGCTAAAGGAGCTTATTAATAAAGGAAAGGAAAGACTGTTTTTATTCAGGTTCAAGGGAATAATGAATTGTGCCCCCCCCATGGAATTCCAGAGTGTTTATAATAGACCTGTTAAAACTTACTTACATTAGGTAAAGGTAAAGGTTCCCTTGCTCGAAAGCCAGTCGAATCCGACTCTAGGGTTGCGGTGCTCATCTCCGTTTCCAAGCCGAAGAGCACGCTGTCCGAAGACGTTTCCGTGGTCATGTGGCCGGCATGACTAAACACCAAGGCGCACGGAACGCTGTTACCTTCACACCAAAGTGGTACCTATTTATCTAGTTGCAATCTCTTGCTTTCGAACTGCTAGGTTGGCAGGAGCTGGAACTAGAGACGGGAGCTCACCCCGTCTTGCGGCACCCGGGTCTTGAACTGCTGAACTACTGACCTTCCACAGCCTGCAGTTCAGCATCTTAACCACTTGAGCCACCGCAGCTCCTCTACTTACATTACTAAGCATGTTTTCTTGAGCAACAGCAGCCGAGCTTAGTGTACATTGTATAACAATTCCAGTGGTGGTGGTGTCATATGCATTTTTGGCTGATTCATAGCAAGAGCTTGGGCACTGTGGTCCATAGACTGAGAATCTTCAGTTGCTGGTAAACAGGGTTCATTGTAAGAGGTACATAAGAGCACTAGGAGCTGATGTTTAATAGTCATTCCCATAGTACTGATGTAGTCCTTGTGCACGAAGATGTGGGGGACTGTTGATGGCCATGTCCATTCCATGAGCTATGGAATGTAGGTGGCAATGCATGCCTCCTTTAACTGCCAAGGATCAACTACTGCTGAAAGGTTCTATCTCTTAATCTTCAGTTTCTCAAAACAAAAAAAACCCCACCCTGCCAAGGACCAAGAAACATTATAAAACCATTCACTGCATTCTTATTGGCTACATGTTTTAATCAGACTTAGGGGTTCAACACTTCCCTGCTGTACCCTAGGTATGCTACTGCAGATATGCTAGGAGGTGGGTTTTGAAGCTAAAAATACCCTAAGTTTTACATACTCAATACTACTTGGATTTACAGTGTTTTATTTTGCATACTGAATAGCACCTGATGGGATGCTGTATACTGGTGTGAACTGGTGCTGGTGATGGCAGCCACTTTAAAACTGATTTGTTCATCTTTTGGATCCTAATTGTCTGCCTCACTTTGAATACTGATTCAGGCTTAACATTACTGCTTTTGGGTACTTCATAGAAGGGCTGTCTGGATGGTTTTATGTCTTCAAATTCATCTGCAGCCTTCGCCTTGGGACTTGAGCCACTTTCTTACTTCACGTACTAATTTGATGTCTCTTCATCTATCAGGATGCCTTTTTAAATGTCCCTGTTCACACTTAAGGTCAGATATCAAGTTGATGGCTAAACACAGGACTTGTTTATAGGTAGAATTTGAATGGCTGTTCAGTTGACCAGTGAGTTATTCCAGTGATTATTACTGCTGGGTGAATTTGTCTCAGATCAGTTGAATACTCAGCTTGATATCTGACACTTCTCAGGATAGAAACAGTTCATCTATTTCCAGGAGCTCTTTCCTGGTTAGTGTGCATGCACTCCTGGGCAATTACAGTTCCCTGCACCAGCTGTGGCTGGGAGGTACTTGGAAATTCGGTCTCTGTCCTCCTCCCTGCCCTTTCAAAGCCCAAGCAAGATTGTTTGGGTTTTTTGGAGCTCTATGGGAGACATCAGTCACATCATGTTTGCAAGAATGAATCAAAATAATTGACCCAAAGAGAGAGAAGATTATTCTTCAAGTGAGCAGGTATTGATCAGGTGTGCTGGTCATACAGTTCACAACGATCCATTTGAAGTAAGGGGATAAAACTGAAAAACTTGGCTTGAATGCTTACCTGAGAATGCAGAAGCACATCTTATATTCCAATAAGAAAAAAACCTTTTTTGGGGAAATGACATTCTCTTTAACAGACAGACACATTTATATTCCAGTCTGAACTAGGCAGGTGTAAGCTTCAGAGGCATCACTATGCATCACATACAGAAAAGTTATAATTTAATATTACTGCTAATTTAAGTTTTTTCCAGTGAAGAGAGAGACTACAGTCCTATCCTAGATACAAATGTGTCCAATATAATGATTTTAAGGAGCTCCTTTGTATTGGTTTACTATGTGTTGGTACTATGCATTCTGACCATAGTTCTAATAAGACTCTGAACAGACTCTCCCAGCCCTGTTACTGCCAATCTCTCATGGGCATGAACTGAATATTGGACCTTTTTAATTGTGCCTCTCTGCCATTGTCTGCCTTTCCCTGTATCCTTGCAAGTTCAGTACAAGTGCATTGGAATGTTGAAAGAATGTTGGTTGGACATACACCTGCTTGATCTAGAAAAAACCTTGATCATTTCCCCTTATTCTCATGATTATTTCGTTGACCACCTAACAGGGAGTCATGGGTTCAAGATCATAATAGGAAGAACTGTTTGCTTTAAATTCTACAGATGGGAGTATCTGATTCTGGACTGTAGTAATTAAAAATTGCTTTACTTACCATCTGCTCAGAGCCTTCAGGACAAAGTAGACAAACATTTTTAATGGAGTTTGAAGGCAAGGCTGGAAAAATCCTGGGCAACAGTCCCTAAAGTTTGCTATTGCTGACTGGAATCTAGGGTACTGTTTTTGCATTCTCAGATACTTGATATTGGTTTCATTTACTGGAAATCATGTTCCCATTTTGGTTCTTTTTTTCTTTTTTTAGGGCACTACTGCAGTGAGATGTTTCTCTGGATCTGAAAACATCTTTCCTGTTCCTGGAAAGAATGTATTGGCCACTGGTGTGTCCTCGAAGCAGGGCTTCACTGTTTATGTAGATGAATTAGAACAGAAAAATACCCACAACAGTTCGGCTATAGAAGATGTGGAGCCAAGCATGTGTGAAGTTGACACCACTACACTGAAACCCAGCTTTCACCTGCTGTTGGACTTGAGTACAGGTGCAGTGCCTCACACAGTTGACGTTTTTTTAACTTATAATAGGTATGTAATATTTGTTATTGGTAGAAATATAACGGTTAATGACCTGACTTGGATAGCCCAGGCTAACCCAATCTTGGAAGCTAAGGATGGTCGGCCCTGGTTAGTATTTGGATGGGAGACCACCAAGGAAATTCAGGGTCACGGTATAGAGGCGGGCAATTGCAAACCACCTCTGAATGTCCCTTGTCTTGAAAACCTTACGGAGTCGCCATAAGTCAGTTGTAACTTGACAGCATTTTCTACTGATGATGATGAATGAGAAAACTGAAGTGGATAGCTTATTTACCTTCTTTCTTTAATTAGTTTTTCCTCTGTATGTTTGTGACTTAGTGTCTCCAATGTTGGTCGATACATCACTACAGTCACAATATGAAGATCCCCGTGGTCACAAAGTGGATATTGTGGGCATTGGAGAATATGCTGAAGATATTCATTGCTACCTGAGAGAGGCTGAAGTGAGTGGTACTTTGAATGAGCTTGTTAGAATGTTGACCTGTGTCTGACCCCTATGTAGGTCATAGGCTTGGATTCTCACTGGTTAGAGGGAAATTGGGGACACTGGGGTGACTTGCTGGTATGGCCCTTGACCAGCCACATGAAACCAGATTGGTCTTTGCCTGCCAGAAGGCATATGCTGGCATGATAAAGTCTTAAAATAAGGTAAAGCTTTCCCTTGCTCAAAAGCCAGTCGAATCCAACTCTAGGGGGCAGTGCTCATGTCTGTTTCCAAGCCGAAGAGCCAGAGCTGTCTGAAGACTTCTCCGTGGTCAAGTGGTCAGCACTGAACGCTGTTACCTTCCCACTAAAGCAGTACCTATTTATCTACTTGCAATTTCTTGCTTTTGAACTGCTAAGTTGGCAGGAGCTGGGGCCAGAGACAGGAGCTCACCCCATCACACAGTACTCTGGTCTTGAACTGTCGACCTTCCAGTCTGCAGCTCAGCATCTTAACCTCTGAGTGACCGCGGCGCCTCCAATAATAATTACCTGGAAAAAATAATTAAAATAATTACATGAAAAAATCTGCTTTTCCCATTCCTAATTTTTTAACATCTGGCCTGATGAAGAGTTCTGATGAACTTGAAAGCTTGTACACTGTGTTTCTGGGCTAATTCTAAGAAAACGTATTATATGGATTGTGTTCTTGGATTTTACTTTTGAACCAATAAAGTGGTAAACAGTTTGTATACATAATGTGCTCAGTAGTATGCTGGAATATTTTTTTTGTTAACAAGGCAGTCTGATTTCCAGTTTTACTTTGCATGGTCCATCTTGGTGTGTGAACATTTCCCTTAATACACTTTCTTCTTCGCCTAGCTAGGAAGATCACACTGGGAGAGCCTAGTGGGAGATAATGTTGAACTATTTGGTGTTGATTTACTCTATTGATCTTGTTATGCCTGTTCATCACCAGCAGCTTTTATCAGGAGTGTGTTACATACATGCTGATTGGATGTTGTGTTGTGTTTGAGTATAGGATGGTGGTCTGCCTGCTGTCTCTAACACTGCCTGACCTTTTTGTGGATGACTATGTGGATGACTCAGTACATCTGGGCTTTGACTCATGCAAGCTTATGCTATAAATGTTAGTCTTTTGTTGTTGTTGTTGCTAGAACTATTTTAGGGATGCCTTCACATCCTTCTGATAGCCTTGTTGTGTCCAATCATTCCCTTTCCCTTTATTCTCAATTACTCTGTATCTTGCTTAGTTTCCATCTGTACTTTCTGGATTGGGACAGTAGAAATAGACACATTTTGTACAAGTTGGAAGGGCTCAGGTGGGTTATTACTATGCGTACCTTGTTCAAAGTTCGTCTTGATAAAGGACTTTGTATCTTTCTTCCAGTGGAGTCTTGGGTAATGTGCATGAGGGTGACATTAATTTTCACAGACACGGGGGGCAGGGGGGCGAGAGATTTTTGTTCTTGCTTTGGGAGGGTTGCCCCCAACTGGTTTTGTGATGCTTACAAAGAAACCTGAATCAAATTTAATTACATTTGACAGAGGGGGGGAGAGAGATTTTTGATCTTGCTTTGGGAGGGTTGCCCCAAACTGGTTTTGTGATGCTTACAAAGAATCCTGAATCAAATTTAATTACATTTGACAGAAGAAGCCAGTGTGTGGGGGGGTCACAATATACACTGTCAGTGTCTACCATTACATGCCCTACTATCAAACACGCACTCACTATTATGTCTTGTGGGGTATGGTCGCACCCTATATGCACACTTAGTAACCAATGACAATTGTGCTCTTTTTCCTTCAAAATAGACAAATAACCGTTCTGTTGAAAACAGAATGATCAACTTGAGCAAAACTGCTAATAAAATTTAGCTGGGATAATTTTGTACTCCAGGATTGAGCATGGGCTGCAACACAAAAATTTCCCCCTGGGAAAATCCATTGTTTACCCCAGAAGAGAATTAATGGTAGTTTTCTTTTTGAAAATGTTCAGCAGACTTCCAGTGACAATGTAGAAGGTAAAGCAGCAGAGCTCTTAACTTCTGTCTTTTCCCCCAAGAAAAACATACCTAGGTGGGTAGGTAGCTTTGGTATCCAGGACAAAGTATTAAGAGGGTCTCCAACTCTTCACTGTGGTTGAATCTGCCACTTAACCAAATGTTTGTTTAACCAGACTTCAGTGATGAAGAAGATTCTCCAGGTAGCAGGCTTAGTGTCTTGGAAACCTTTCATCATACATTTTTTTGCTTACAGTGTCTTATGCATAAAGCAGATAAGGAACAGGTCCTTAAGTTCAATTTCTAACTTTATTTTTTAGCAGTGTTTGTTTTCTGAAATAGTCATGTGCATAATTTTATGCACAACTATATATATAAAAATACTATTTGGAAATCTCACAATGTCCTGCATACAACCTGATACCGTTTGCTGAATGGAAAACTTTAAACCAAGTCACCTTCACTTTTCCTTCTTCAGCTTAAAGAAATTTCTCTTTCTTTGTTCCTCCCCTGTTCTCCAGACTTCTATTCTTGCTTTTTGAATTCTTCCCAGCTTCCCTGCTTGTCAAATGCAGTAACCAGAACCAAATACAGTCCTGTGCAAAGGCATTTCTTAAGCAGCAGAGTGAGTGACAAGGGCCTTATGTGACTTGCTTATAAAACATCAGTGTGGTGTTTGTACCACTGCAACATAGTCCCTGATTTGTATTCAGCTGCTTGTCAACTTATGATCCTTGGTCCTTATCGGTACTGCTGCTTGCCAGAGAGATACTCCTCAAGTGTTAGCTGCATTTTTTTGGGTTCTTACCAAAAATACAGACCTTTTATGCTAGCTTTAACATCATACCTAATTATGTTTTTCCAGTTAAGATCATTTTTGCGATTCTTACTTTGAAATGTCTGCAGATTTTGGGAGTGTATCAGTGTTGTCCCCCCAGTAGTCATTGGTGAATATATTTAAATAGTGCTGTGCCCAAAATAAAATTGACATACTCAGGGCTTTTTTACATTCCTCAAGAAGATCCTGAGCCATTCACAATTGCTCCTTGTGTGAGGCAAGCCATTCTAAATAGGACTGTAGGTTCTACAAAGCTTCAGTCAAACGCCAAGGAGTTCATGTGATCAATAAAAGAAACTGCCAGATTTGGTTTATACACTTATTTGGAGGCTAAATTATGTTCCAAGCAGGTCCGATACAGGCCAAAGCCTTGCTACATGAGGAAGCAGCCAGATATCACCACCTGTATGCGCACAATTTTGGTGGACTGGCTGGTGGAAGTTGGAGAAGAATACAAGCTTCACACAGAGACCCTGTACCTTGCTGTAAACTACTTGGACCGCTTTCTCTCTTGCATGTCTGTCCTTCGAGGAAAACTGCAGCTTGTAGGAACAGCAGCAATTCTCCTAGCTGCGTAAGTAGTCATGCCTGAATGATCAAACCTTTGATGGACGATGACAGCTTTGGGCCACTTAATATAGGTTCCCATTTTGTACAACTCATGTAGGTACATCTACCCATTTTGAATACTCATGAGCTAAAAAAAGGAGAAATCCAGTTTTGGCCCAAGCCTCACTATTCTGGAGCCTGGTACCATGCTGTAATATGTACCTTCCTCCCCAGGTCCATCCTTGGGAAATGTAAAAGTGGGGGAGGGGGGCCCTGTGTAAGCCGCCCTGAGCCCGTTCGCGGGGAGGGCGGGGTAAAAATGCAAATAAATAAATAAAAATAAAATTTTATTTTTGAAGCGTGATAAATAGAAATAGTAATAGGCTTCCAGCCTGGGCTACCCCCTCCCCTCTTCCGGAACACTATGCCGCATAAGGGGGACCAGTTTCTCTGTCCTCTATCCGTGTTTTCTGGTCTGCCGTATACCTGCAGACGCTGAGTTGGCACCCATCATAGGATTGTTCTAAAGCAGTCTTGTTATGAAATAACTGGGTCTGTATTTATTTGCAAGCTGATGTGGTGCGGAATAAATACAACCTGGCTTGGTCTGAATGCCTTGATGATGCTCCCCACGCTTTATGTGTAGCTGGCCAAGCTGCTGATTAAATGCAACTTCTTTGGGGTGTTTTGGCACATAGTGTCCTTAGAAGAGTTTGTATTCCCCCCCTCCCCGGCTTAGATAAAGACACAGCTTGATCAGCTGTGAAATTGCTGTCTGAAACACTGATAAAAAGTTTCCTGTAAAGTGAGCAGGAACTATATATGTAAACTTTCCTGTAAAGTAAAAATTGCAGGGAATGTGAACTGTTTGACCTAATTTGTGAAAGTGTAATGTATTGCTGACATTCTGAGGCTGTCGTAATAATTTGGGGGGCTTTAAAAGATGAACAGCTGTCTAATCTGGTGCCCTCAGCGGCTGTCTAGTTTTCCTGTATGGTTGGCTGGTCCTTCTAGGGAGGGTCAGGGAGGAGGAAATGGAAACCATGGGAATATTTTCCCGTCTCCTTCATAGGTCCCCACGTGGTCTTACTTAATTTGGATCTCATGCTAAAAGAGTAAGATACATTCTTTATCTAAGCCAGTGCTACAGTACAGGTTCTGCCTGATAGCTCTATCAAGATACTGGTGGCTAGTAGGCTGTAAGATCTGCTCCGTTCATTAAATCTCTATGGACAATGTTACCACTTGCTGATGTTTAATGCAGGTGCTGGCTTTTAAAGCTTTCTATACCCTTTCCCCCAGGAAATATGAAGAAATCTATCCACCAGAGATAGAAGAATTTGTATATATAACAGATGATACCTACACCAAAAAACAGTTATTGAGAATGGAACACTTGCTTCTCAAAGTCCTAGCCTTCGACTTGACAGTCCCAACCATCAACCAGTTTCTTCTTCAATATTTACAGAGGCATGGTGTCTGTTTGAAGACTGAGAATTTTGCGAGGGTAGGCTGCCTTCTCCAAACATCTAGATGTTCTTCAAGAAAACAAAAACGATTTGGCACCAACCTTAGTAGCTGGGTTGTTGTGGATGCATCCCCTTGAGAATAGTGTGAAGACTATAACTCAGAAACTAGGTTTTCCCAAGGGTGTAACATAATTTATACTCTTAACAGCTTATATCTTTTGAGGCATCTCAAGTCTGTCTAAATCAGTTGTCACCCAACCTTTTTGAGCCTGTGGGCACATTTGGAATCCTGACACGGCATGGTGGGCGCTGCCACAGAATGGCTGGTGCAGGAGGCAGAGCCAGCCACAAAATGATTGCCACAGCTTAATGTCAGCATTATGGATCCTTGTGCTGAGGTAACAGCTGCTATCAAAACAACATTTAAAAATACTTGCTCAGCCAGTCAGAAGCCTTGCTGGGCAAAAGCCCTAACCCAGCCCCACCCACTTCCTAAAATCACTTGGTGGGCACCGTGTTGGGGGCCCCCGGGTCTAAATGCTTTTTAGCCAGAACTAAGGTACAGCTATGAGACAGGACTGCACAACAGACTTCTAACCGCAGATGTATCTATTCAGGGGTCTTTTTGTAGAAAAAGGCCAGCAGGAACTCATTAGCATAATGGGCCACCCCCCTGACAGCACAGCTCATTAGCATATTAGGTCACACCCCCGTGTTACCAGAAGTGTGGTCATCCAGCCACACCCACCTTTTGCTTGTTATTCTGTTTTTCTTGTTTGTTGTCAAAACCCCGGGCATTTTTTGGAGCAGGAACTCCTTTGCTTGTTAGGCCACACACCCCTAATGTAGCCAATCCTAATGCTTTCCTGCTGTTGGGTGTGGCCTATTATGCGAATGAGTTCCTGCTGGGCATGGCCAACTTGGGAGCCAGCCGGAACTCGGTTCTTGTGCGTTCCTGCCCAAAAATAGCCCTGTGTCTATCCATTTATGTTTAAAATTGTATACCGTGAGATTCTGAAAGTAGTAGGCAACAATAAATCAATTCATAGCTAATAAAAACTGCAGTAATGTTAAGACCGGGTAGAATCCAGACAATAACTTCATAATGTCATGCTCATTTTCTTCATGACAAACTATGAGGAACCAATGCCATATGCCCCCTAGCTGTTGCCTTCAGCCCATGTGTCATGAACCTTAATTGGGTCATGGAGCCTCACTTATCTAGTCCCAAACAGCTATATAGCTGCCTTTTTCCTTCTTGCGTCTGTTAAGAGTGCATAGCAAATGAGGGTGTTGTTCCTCCTGTGCACGCATGCAGAGAGGAACAGCAGGACAATGAAGTGAGATCACTCACCAATGGAGAGGACTCTGGCCCAGAATTTCTGGAGGAGGGTAGGTGCACAGATACCTCTTTCACTATAGAAACTCGCCCTCACTGTCTGTCTTTTTCTCAGAGAGACAATTGATCTTACAATATGCTACATGCACTTGCAGTACAGAGCCCTTCATGGCTTGTGAGGTCATAACTCTGACCTCTCCTCTCCCTGTCGTGTAACTTTGATGCCAGCAGGTCCTATCCTCCTACTAAGGTTGGGTCCCGAGTCTGGAAAGGCTGGAGATCACTGGTCTTGAAGCCTGGAAGAATAAAAGTGTCAAATCTGTTTTAGATAGAAAGGTTAAAATTGGCCAGAAAGTATTCAGTTGAATCCAGACTAAATTTTCTGCTCACACAAAGTGCTTTCATCAGTGGAACAGGCTGTTTCTGCCTTCTCCTCCCCCACCATGTTGTGGCCCCCTGATCTGCCCCAAATGCTGCTCCTTGGGAGATGGGGGACTTTCAGGAATAGCATGGCAGCCAAATCAGGGCTTTGCAACAGGAAGAGGGAATAGGTGGAAATGATTTTTTTTCCCTTTAGCAAGAAAATCTAGTCTCGATCTGACCTACTCTCTCCATAATGTGGGAAGGGTGGCTGGGACTAAGCTACTTACTGAAGGTCATAAATCAGCTACAAAACAGCAGTTTAGCTGACTGAATTGATGCTTAATAAGTCTAAAGAGAAAGGTTGAGCACCTTTAGCCCTAGTCGGCAGTGGAGGCTTACAGATATTGATTGCTGTGCTATTTGGATCTCTCTGCCTCAGTAAAGTAATCAGCAGAATGCTTTACTTGTGGTTAAAGAAGTGTTACTCCTGTCTTCTCTTAGTATGTAGCAGAACTGAGCCTACTTGAAGCTGATCCATTCTTGAAGTATCTTCCCTCACAAATGGCAGCAGCTGCTTACTGTCTAGCAAATTATACTGTGAACAAGCATTTTTGGGTAAGTCTGCTTCTGGCATGCTACACTTTTCACTTTACTGGCTTAACTTGGGCCTAAGGCCTTCAAGAACAGCACAAAATGTAAGGGGGGGTATTGGCTTGCCTAGCAACTGACCTCAGAGTTAGTCAACACAGTTAAACTGTCTGTAGTATATAAAAAATGATATCTCTTGTACAAATACATTTGTGGGTTGGAGGTAGAGCATCTGCCTTGCATGCAGGTCTGAGGTTCATTCCCTGGTATCTCCAGATAAAGGGTTATTTAATAGGTGGTGTGAAAGACCTCTGAGACCCAGAGAACCATTGACAGAGCAGATAATATTGACCTTGATAGGCCAAGGGTCTGACTTAGTATGAGTCAGCTTCAAGGGATAACCATGGCAGTCTGTTACAGCAAAACTAAAAGAACTGACATCTTAACCTTTATGGATTACTTTGGCATGAACTTTCATGGGCTCGAGTGCATTCTGTCAGATGCATGAAATGTTGTGTGGGTGATATCTGATGCTGAAATGTGGAGAAACAGAAAACTGGGATCAAAAGGTAGTGATTGGTAAAGTCTGGCTTTTGTTTTAGCTATTCAAGATAAGCACAGTGACCATTTAGAGTTAAATAATCTTAGTCTTTAAAGTACCAACAATACTTTTCTGTTCATCACTCAAGAGTCATCAATAGACAATTAAGCTTTAACAGGGTCACCTATTGTGTTAAAAACAACCTTCTGTTAGTGTAGTTTAGTTGACCTTAATGAGCATTTGCTCCAGTTTGAGTTCTGTTGATATCACAGCAGTATTCGTTCAGACTAAAAAGTTCAGTGACACATCCAATAAATCCCATACATGTCATAACCGTGTCCTGGTAGGCATAAGCAATTCTCAACAGCTCTCTTAGCACCAGCAGTTCGCCATCTGGAGGTATTGAAAAGGGTTGTTGAAACTAGGCTACTGTCAGAAGTTGGTGAAGGCTTCTTGTGGTTTAATGGATGAGCAGGCTGTATGGCACATTAGATCTGCCTGCATGAACGGCCGTGGCTGTAACTA